GCAGTTTGCGTAAGTTTCTGTTCTTGTTTCTCATTACGGGTCAGTCATTCAATAGTTTTTCAGTAATAATGTGCGTTAAAGTATCGGAAAACAATGAGGCATATGATGCTTAAAAGGGAATCAACTTCGTTGATATGTGGATAATGTAACTGATTAGAGGAACTTCTGTCTACTCCCTTTCCCTTGGGATAAGTACTTTCCATTGGCTTGCATTAGCATGTACTAGGATGCTGCAACTGAAACCATTCTATTTGTTTTTTCCCCCTTCATTTCCTTGGAATAACTTCGATTTAATTGATTTGATTGTACACTTTGACAAATTGGTCCCTCATTGACAGGGAACTTGATGAAAGGATGAGAGATGCATTCCACGGTTTTATTGAAGAACGAGGGGTGGATGAGAAGCTGTTTGATTTCCTTCAGGCATGGCTGTATGTGAAGGAGCACCGGAGTCTAATGCGTTGGTTTAAAACAGTGGGCATGTACATCAATGAAAATAAGCCGGCTAAGAGTTCTTAATATTGGCATAAGGGGTTTCATAAAATGATTTATCTGCAAGCGAAAATGCTAGACTGCTACCAAGTTGATGGCATATCTGCTTGATTACTAGCTGGTGAGCCGTGATGTTTAAACTCCTCAGCTTCATAGTTCTGTTTCTGTCTTGAAGTACAAGTGTCATAGCTGTTTTGTCATAGAGATGACATTTTCATGTTTGAACTGTTTTCTTTCTCTATTAGGTGATTCATTACATGGGCAAAGATGGGCAACATTCTTCTCGGACATGCTTATTTTTAAGTGCTTTTGCAGCTTGATTAAATATTTTCTTCATAAATTTCTTCGTGTCTAGAGGAAGATTGTTTGGTGTTAAGTAGAAGATAAAGATTCTGGGCTCAAGTTGCTCGAGTAGTTTATTACTATGTATACCTCCACTTTAACAGTCTTCCCGTTTCGTATCTTATAACATGTTGCACTTTGCCATTTCAAAATCAAAGCTGATGGAAAATTTTATAATAAACTCTGTATTCTTGCTTTGTAACTCAAACTAAACACAAATCTTCAAAAAAGGAAAAAAAAAAAAAAAGATGATCCCGATATTCTTTGAATCCACTCGGGAGAGGAGCTTTCATGGCTTACGCAATTGAATGTCTGCTAAGCCTTGTGTGGTTTGAGTTTTTGTGTGCGTAGCAAGTAGTTGCATGTGCACCAACTTGCCTGAGTCGGAGTTAACAAACAGACATGGATAGAACAATATTTCAAGAGCTCATCCAAGGGGTTTCTCCTCCATAAACCTAGTGCGGTTGGTTTTGAGGCTCTGCATTTAAAGGGAGAATACCAATAGGATTCTTGGCTGTGTATTCAGTAAATCGGTTTAGCCGATGAAAGCGAAAAGAAGCTTGTTCAGAATAACTAATCGTGGATTCATGATGCTCTGGAAACTCAAGAGTCGAAATATGAATTGGAATGCAGAAAATATTCTTTCTAGAAAAAATCAACAGCCCCGTGCTTTGAATTTAGACTTGGGAATGAAATAATCTTTATTGAAAATGAAAATCCAATAGTGAAATGAAATAATCTTATTTATTTTTACCTATCTGTCTCTATAACCAAATAAATTCCCGACAATTCTATCTCTATTATTGCAATCTAAGAACATTAACTGAATGAAATCCAAATCTCTGAGTAAATAATGGGATACAATCAATAACATTCAATTCCTTCAAAATAATTAGGCTCTTTTCAAAGGGTCATATTACAATTAGGTGGGCATATATATATATATATATTTGCAAACGGTAGGATGTGATCTACGTAAAAGAATTTCAAAAGTTGCAGCCTTCACCTGACGAACCAGTGAGTTTTTTATCTGCGAAGAAGCCTAGGGTTAAACCCTTCATTGAAATAAGATGGTGGGGGCAAATGCAACTTGTCATGGACTCGGTCAGGTTCTCAATTCAAGTGTCAAGGGGTTTCTGCCCAGTGTAAACCTAACTTGGCATCAGCTCGGTGAAGTGCCGATCCCAAGTTTCAAGGGACCTATCTCAGGATGCACCCAAATTGATATGGGCTCAATCAAATGTTAAGTCCGGGTGCAAAGAAAACCTGTCCTGGGATGAACCAAACTTGACATGAGTTTAGTAAGTGCAGAGTCCAGGTGCCCAATGAAAGCCCCTAACAGGTACCCGCCACCAATTATTCATTTTTATCTTTAGAGATCCTCAAATGATGAAAAGAAATACTAATATCTCTTCTCTTGATAAACCATCATAAAAGATAATACTATAAATATTTATTTCATATTACTGTTAATATCAATGATATTTATTTTTTATTAAATGGTTATATTAGAAATATTTAATCTCTATTAATGCTATAATGTATGTGAATACTCCCAAACCATTCCGACAAGTAATTTAAAATTTATATATAAAGAGATAAATTCTTTTGAGTATTATAATATTTATCACATTAAAATAAAAATATATACTTTTTTATTTGAAATTTAATATTTATTATTGTATTTATTATTTATTTTCTTTTAAAAATTATTGACTTTACCATCGTAAGATCCTTAAATCTCCTAAAAACAGACTATTTATAGGTACTATAAAGCTCTTATTATGAGATAATTTATATACTATGAAGAATAAGAATTTTTAAATAATAACCTTTGATTGACTTATAATTCAATCACCCAAAAAACTTATTTTTAGGCATATTAAATTTTAGAGCATCATCATTTGACGCCATCCATGAGAAACTTGTGAAAAAACCATCAATTTCTTTCTAAAACTTGCTTTTTACACACCTACTCATAATTAATGACAAACAATCAAGATATTTCTAAAATAAAATATGTAATAGATTTTTTTACCACAACAGATATTTCTATCCGATCAATCATTCAACAACTAATTAACCAAGTACAACTTTTCACTTAAATAGTGTTGGCAAATAAATAAACCAAAAAAAAAAAAATACCTCATCAAGTCTCACTATTACCTTAACAAGGTGTTGCATCCTCCCAATAACATCCATAATAAGAAGTTGCCCAAGATGTCTGCAAATGTTTACAATACCATAGCAGTTGACCCTATTCATGAGCTTTTAAGGTGTAATAGGTGACTCAATGATTTAAACACGTACAAAATAAGATGAAAACAACCTTTTTGATAACTAAAGTTAAAATAAAAATAAAAATAAAAATGTGATAGTTCTCCATTATCATTTAAAATTCTTGATTTTGTCTTTCCATATAATGAAACATACTCCATGAATCCTTGTTACAATTTTTATTTCCTTTAAAAAAATTAAAAGGGAGGAACAATTTGTCTTAAAATTACAATGATTTTTTCATTAATTTTAATGATTGTAGCCGTGATAGGTAGGAGATCCAAATGGAAACCTATTTTGTTAGAGAACCTAGTTGAGAATTTCAAGGAAAATATATGTCTTTTTCCCTTGTTTTTATAATTAATACAACAAATTAAGGATTAAATTTAATAATCATGCTAATAAACGGTTACTATTAATTCCATAAATAACAAAAGAAAATATAAGTGTATCAATAATCTCCTTCTTGAAAAAATAATAACTAATTAATCAAATCAATTTTTCTAGAATTTCTTTATTGGAGGATGATCAACCTCTCTTATTTCTACGAGCTTGTTTGTCAGCATAACTAATCCCACAACTGGCTGCATTAACAAACAATACGTAATAGATTTAGTTTGCCACCATGCTTTACCAAAGCAGCAAAGTTCCTAGTGGAACGAATTTTACAAGAATATCATGTATGAAGCATTAGAAGCTTATTAATGAAGGAAAAATCTAATCGCTAGACTTGAAAAAAAGCTATGGAACAAGAACTAGAAATCACTTCATGATTTTTAATTATGTATCGTTATATGGTCTCAACAAAGACTATATCAGTACTTTGTTTTTTATAATTTTTTAAAATGAACTCTGTATTTTTTAGTTTTGCAATTCAAACCAAACGCTCATCTTCAAGAAGATTTTGATGAAAACACATGACGGGGAAATTGCTTCAATTTAGCAATTTGGGAAAATAATAAAAAAGCATGTAAGGTAACATATACAAAATATATTTTATTATTCCAGATATATTTTGAATCCACTTAGGGACACGAACTTTCATGGCTTAAGTAATTGAGTGTTCTCTACCTTCGTGTGGTTTGAGACTGTGTGAATATGAAGTAGTTGCACTTCAAATATAGATAGACAGATATGTATTGGAAACTAATATGATTAATTTTGAGACTAAAGTTAAACTTGTTAAGAATTATTAATCAAGGATTCATCGAAATATATATTGGAAACATCAAAATTAATATTCTCTCTAAAAAGTAATAATACAAAAAATCAGCATTTCCATGCTTTGCATTTAGACTTGGGAATTAAGTAATCTTTATTGAAAATGAAAGTCCTAAAAGTGTATAATAAAAGTGTTGGAATACTGACATGCAAACCCGATGAGACAAAAGGTAAGGAATAAGATAAAATGAAAAATAAGATACACAAAAATTTACGTGGTTCACCTAATTAGACTACGTTCACGGGCAAGTATAGAAGGATTTTAATGTGAGAATTACAACCTCTCTCAAATAGTAAGAGAATAACTAAGAATCTCTCTATTATTAAGAGAAAATACCTCACTCACTCCCTCACAAACACCTTATAATCTTATGGGATTACTCTCTCTTCGCTTTCCTCTTCTTCTCTCTATCTTAGTATGTAAACTAAGTTTGGAGATATTGTCTATTTATAGATAAGAGTGAGAAAACAAAGACCATAAATTATGACACCAATTATGCTACAAGTTATGCCAACAACTTATTTTTACTCAGACTCCATCAATAATTTATCTTCAATTATACCAACAACTTTATTTATTTTTATCTTCCACCAATTAATCAGGTGGTGGCTTTGCGTTGATATTTACAATTTTACACGGGGAGTGTTTTCAAAAGTTGCAACCTCATTCAACTATATATTTATGTATACACCTAGTAACCCAGCCAGAAGCACCCACTACAACATCATCTTAATCCTAATCTCATTCTTGTACATCATCAAAACTCACCACATTAAGGTTAAGATGGCTGAAGGAAAAAGCACAGACAGTAGCCTGAAGCTCAAGTCAGTAATCAACTATGATGACAGTAAGGACAACGAAGAAGATAAGGGAGATTTGCCTGATGATCTTTCACTGGAAAAACTAAGCCTTAAAGTTCCGAAAAAGAAACTCCTCATCCTTTGCCTTGGCGGGCTGCTATGTCACAGGGTCTGCTTTAAACGCGGTTCCGGTAACGTTCAGACAAACCGCCGTCCTGATACTGTGTATGGAAGCTTTAAAGGTAAAGTTGTGATCAATCTGCAGTGTAATTTTTTCTTTTTTGTTCTTACGAGGTATATTCTCTTCTGATCAGTTTACAAGAGGCCATTCTGCGATGATTTTGTGACATTCTGCTTCGAAAGATTCGAGGTTGGAATCTGGTCTTCTGCGAGAGAGTGAGTAAAAACCTATCTATTTTTCAGTAACCTTTCATGTTGAATGATGTCCTGTCCTAACCAAGTTTCTTCCTGCTGTCTGAGACAGATGGTACATGAATGATGCTCTTGATGGTGTTATGAGAGGTTTCAGGTCCAAGCTGCTATTTGCTTGGGTAAGTATGGGTTACCTTTCTTGCTTCATCTTACAATCTTTTTTCAGGGATCATTCCTGTCTTATTAATGATGTCCTTTTTCAGGACCAAGACAGATGTACTGATTCAGGGTTCAAAACCTTGGAGAACAAGAAGAAGCCGATTTTTCTTAAGGAATTTAATCAGCTCTCCGCTCTTTCATGGTGCAAGGGGCAAGATACCTCTTTGAACACTTTGCTGATTGATAATGACCCCTACAAGTCTCTTCTAAATCCTGTAATAAAACTAACCATCACCTTTTACTTAAATTAAAACAGTTTGTTAATTTGTTCACTTCGATGATACTGTCCTGCTTGTCCATTTTTGTAGCCCTACACCGCTATTTTTCCTGACGAATACACGGTGGACTGTGTTAATGATTCTGCTTTAGGCAAGTCCTGCTGCGTACCTTCTGTTGTTACAGGATTGATTAATATATATTATTAACCATACTAATTATATAGTTAACGATTTAATTTGGATTAGGTCCTGAGGGTGATCTTCGGGTCTACTTGGAAGGCCTGGCTGATGCTAAAGATGTTCCATCCTATGTGAAGGACCATCCTTTTGGGAAGCCTGCAATCACTCCCCTGCACCCTGACTGGGATTTTTACTCCAAGATTGTTCGACGCCGTAGCAAGGAACCGATCGTGACCTAGCAAGGATAATTTTCAAAAAATAACAACGGAGATGTTTTTATATTGTATATATGCTGCTGCTTATTTTTATGTTGTTTGGTGTTGAACAAACCTACAGTAATTCTGTTGCCTTAATCCATATGTTTCATATTTTGTTAAAGATCATGTTTAATTAATTATAGAATTTGGCAGACCTCCTGTTCCATGTTTAAATTTTCTTGATCCACTTGTAAATCCTAGCAGCAGCAGTTCTTTTCTTAAAAACTTATGCTAAACAACATGCATTAAGGGCTTTCTTCAGAGAAATCCGACGACGTTTTGGGTTTCTCCTGTTTTGGGTTTCTCCTGTAATTTGAAGGAAATACTACTACGCAAATAATAAGGATTGGAGTTAATATAAAAATTAAATTTTAAAGAATAAAATTTTAAAAAAAATTAAAATAAAATATATAGCAATCAAAAATTTGAAAACCAAATTTGTTATAATCCGCAAATAATATAATACTTTTAATTTTTTTTATAATTTTTAAAAAGTATTTTTCATCTATAAAAAAACACTTTTTTTGAAACTAAATCAATTTTTTTTTAACTAAAAAATATTTTTTATTGATTAATTTTTTTTAATAATAAATAAATATATAAAAATTAAAAAATTATTTTTCACCAGATACACAGAAAAACAAAGGAGGCTGGGGCTTAACTTGGTGGTATCCAATTGGAAGCTTATTTTGTTAGAGAACCTTAAGGGGAAATTAGGTCCCTTGCCCTTATCTACTTAATTAAGACAACAAATGATTATATTCGATGACAGTGAAGAAAAGCCTACTAATTAATAAATTCTTACACTATTAATTCCATAAAAATAACAAAAGGAAATATAACTTTATGGATACATAACCATTTCTTTAAAAAGAAAAACTAAATAACTAATCAGATAAGATTCCCAATGGATTGCTTTGAAGAACCCACTCTGCTTTTACAAGTAAAGCAAATAAATCTCTGCTTCTTTAATTAAGCTTTGAGAACTTTCACTCAAGAGAGATGGAAAGGAAATAGATATAAAAGAGAGAAAATAAAAGAAATATTTTTATTTTTATTTTAGTTTTAGATATAAACATATTTTTATTTTTATTTTTTGTGGGTCCTCATATTGTTTTTTTCTTTCATTGTCCATCTTTTTCTTTATATATATATAATCCATGCATAAAAGAGAGCTATGAAATGAGAACTAGAAATCACTTCATAATCTGACCAATACATGCTTTTACCAAAGGTGACGAAGTCTTGTCTCGGCAAAGGCACGCTCACTAGCTCTTGTCTTCTCTTTTAACTTGTTTGACTACTTTCGACGGAATCTTACCGAAGGCTTGGTGATCAGTCCACTTAAGCTAATCCTTTTCAAGGACGTCCGGTCACTTTTAATTAGGTATCATAAACAACTTACGAACAATGAATGATTCGAGACTAACAGTGCTGTCTATCAAGCCTGGTACTCCCCACGTATAATTTGGTTTATAACTTGAGTTACGGCCAACTCATTAATTAAAGTAGATTTAAAACACTGTTGTTTTAAGATTTTTTTAAAAATAAATTAATATTATTTTGAATTTTTCTCAAGAATAAAAAACCAAACCAATTTTCAGCTTAATTTTAATGGAGTCGCTGGTAGATCAATTCTCTTTCAGTCAGTTTAATTAAAACCCCAACTCAAGTTAGATGATGAAAAGCTGGATTTGATAAGATTGCCCAAAAGCCATAGCAATTGATTGATTTCCAATGATGTTTTTTTTTAAAAAGAAGAAGAAGAAGACAGGGTTTTAGCCCTTTTGAGAACCGACGTTTGGCTCAGACTCTTTACCTTACGTTTACTTCTCCATGAAGCAGAGTTCATGTTTTCCACAAGATATTTCACTATCTGCAACTATTTTTCTAACCTTTCCAATATACTTTTTGACCTGGCCGAGACAATGTAATTAATGTTTCTTAACTAGCGTGCCTTAATTTTGAGCAAGCCCAAAATATTAATTAATCCTTTGTGATTAATCAGCAGAAGTTCAAGGGCACAAGTATTAATTAATTAATAATTAGTAACCTTCAGACACATGATCCGACGCCTACCTAGCCAGCTACCACTTTGCTTAAAAGGTCAAACTAAACTTTGAAATTTCTGACTCACCACACAATCAAGATGGCTGGCAACAGGGATGACCTAAATTATCATGACGAAGATGGGGATGGCCTCAATGGGGATGGCATTGAACTAGAGAAGCTAAGCCTTGGTCCAGATGGAAGCAAGAAACTTCTTGTACTTGATCTAGCTGGGGTACTGTGTGAAAGGGTGTTTCACAAAAACAAGGCCAATATCCCTGATAATCGGACTCCTGATGCTGCCAGTGGAAGCTTTTTCGGTAAGTTTTCAGTTTACACTCCTTTTGCTACCAAGGCTTTTACTTACTCTTGTTTAACGATCGTCTCTCTCAGTTTACAAGAGGCCATTCTGTGAAGAGTTTGTGAGATTTTGCCTTGAAAGGTTTGAAGTTGGAATCTGGTCTTCTGCCAAAAGGTTGGTAGAGTTGCATCTTCCCGATTCACGTCTAATTTTCTTGCTAGATGCTATCAATATTATTCAGAAATTCACTCATTTTTCTGCTCTGAACATGAGAAACAGGACTAACTTGGAAACTGCCGTTGATTGTGTGATAGGAGAAATCAAAGGCAGACTCTTATTTGTCTGGGTAGGAAGCCAAATTCGTGCTTATACAATGAATCTACTGTGTATTAGGATAGCATTTGGGTATCTTTTCGGACGGACAGAAGAGGCTTTGTCTCTATCTCTTATGTATCTGTCGCCACTGTCCCTGAACACTAACTAAACACAATTCAAGTTGTTCCTTGTTGTCTGATATATGTGCTCACCTTTTTAGGACCAAGATGATTGCACTAATTCTGGGTTCAGCACCAAGGAAAACAAGAACAAGCCAATCTTTTTCAAGGAGTTGAAGAAACTGTGGGACAACAAGTCCTCTAATCTTCCATGGAGAAGAGGGCAATATTCTTCATCAAATACATTACTGATTGATGATAAACCTTACAAGGCACTTCTAAATCCTGTAATAACCAGAACTTTAAAAAAATTTGTTTAGATTGCTTAACTTGATTCAAATCTCATTTATCTGTTTTTCCTTTCAGCCTTGCACGGCAATATTTCCCACCGAATACAAGCCGGACCAACTGGATGATGCTACTTTAGGTCCAAACGGTGAGCTCCGACTGTACTTGGATGGCCTGGCAAGAGCAGCAGATGTCCCTGCATATGTGAAGGAACACCCTTTTGGACAGTCTGCTATAACAGCTATCCATCCTGACTGGGATTTCTACTCCAACATCATTGACAATTCCATGGGCAAGGAATCATCAGCTTCCGGGAAAGTCACGGACAGATGATTTCTTTTGTTTACTACGGAAATGTTTCCTTGTTTGTGCCCTTGAAAGTTTAACAAATATTTAAGTCTGTTTATTTTAGTATTTCATTTTATATAGATTACCGATTAATTATGCTATACTGATCGACTTGCTCAACTCTTAAACTCAAATCAGGTTAATTAATTATAAAAAATGATCTGAGAAATCCTGGATCAAACCTTAAAACCGTGATTTTAACAATCCGGTTGTTATGTAATAGAAGAGGGTTGACTGTTTTTTAAGACAGAGCTCAAGCCCAGTTTTAAGGTGGGCTGGACTCAGGCCTATACTTTGTAAAGTTTATTTATGATAGATAGTGGAGGATGTGATGTTAAATCTGTTATCAACCATTTCTTTTCCTTTTTAATTTTTTTAATTAAAATTTCCCAGAAACCCTTTTGTTTTAATCCTTTCTTTTTTCCTGGCTTACGAGTTTTTTATTTATTAATTTAATTAGCATTTACATATTTATAGTGTTTTTGAGAAATGTTTATCAAAAACCATCACAAGATTAAACAGAGCTCTTAGTTTTATCTTTTCTCTATACTATTTCAAGAACAGAGAACACTCAGCTCTGAATCTTATCATTAAATGATTTCCTTTTCTCGAGTAGTTTTTGTGGTTGAATATGCTTTTAATTGATGCTTCTTTAAATATTTTTCAATATTTCTCATGTGTTTTAAAAAATAAAAATTATTTTTAAAAAGCATCATATTACTAAACAATAAGTACAACCCAAATCACAAGAGTTGATGGTATTATAGTAATTGCCTTGGTTAAAGCAGCTACAAGTGAGATTCATTTCCCTTTTTGTGAAATGTAATTTAAAACCTGGAAAATAAGAGTAATTTACACCACCATTTTGGTTTTGTCTTGCATCTCTTTGTCACTCTTTAATGATAATAACTTAATCTTATTTTTCTTTGGTTAAGTTATTAAACTCATACTGATTTGATTAGTTGCATAGTAAATCTTCGATCCAAAACTTAATTTGAACCAAATTTAACATTGATTGAGATAAAACTAGAATTGACTCGTAATCCGACACATTTAATCAGCTAAATTCAGAGTAAACTAGCATTGCGAGCTCAAAATCATGATTTTCTCAATAACAAAATAAAACAAAACAATGCTATTTTTATAAAAAAAATAAAAAAAAATTTGATCGAGATTAACATGATGGCTCGATCCAAGATCAACCTGGACGTGGGGCGAGACCATAACCGCGAGGTATACACGCATGCATAGATTAATCATAACTAGCTCAGACTCTTGGTAATGGGCAGTGTGTGATTCAAGTGATGTGAGGCTACAAGAGATCGTGACCCTTGAATTCCTTTCAAGACCTTCTCAGCGAAGAACATGATGCTGACCCTTTAATCCTCCAGTGCTTTCCATGAATTGCAGGGAGAAGTTTTTTCTGTCGATGATAGCAGCAACGGTGAAGTGGTCGACTTTCGAAAGCCCACTATGCTAGTTTCTTAGTTGACTTTGAAATTTGATGGGGATGTGGGCCCAATTCACAAGTGTGCTGCACGCACCATTACCAGTCATAAATAAAGATGATATGATAACCATGTAGTGCGTCGGTCTCTTTTTTTATTTAATTTTTATAAAAATAATATTAGCAACACTAAATTACTTGTGGTTCAAATGAGTTTCTGATATATTGGCAAGAGTGGTAATTAGAGACCTTTGATTTTTTTTTTTTAATTTTTAATTTCCTAGAAGGAGGTGGCCGGTTGTGGCCATCAATCATCATGAAATGCAAGTTATGCGGTTCTTATAGTATATAGTTTTTATTCGATTTGTATCTAAAAGGGAATGGAAAGGCAAAACAAAAAATCATGAAATGTGGCATGATCTTGCAATCTTGGAGGTGTCAAGGTTAATAATTATTTAATACACCGAAATTGTTTAAGTTATTATTTTTATAATAAATTCTATATTTTTTGAGAAATTACAAGGCATAACTCCTAAAATATTTGATAATTGCAAGGGCTTGTATTTTCTTCGTGTATGCTGCATAATTGGACCATGAGCTTCTTGTTTTTGTGTTTAGTGCTTGCTTTTCTCAATGATTTTCTTTTTATCATTAAACTACAATTTCAATGGAAGAAAATATATTAGGTGTAAATTAAATTGTATTTTAAAAGGACCATAACATGGCAATTTACAGTATGATGTTACAGTAAGAAACATGATAATAATAATAATAATAATAATAATAATAATAATTTCTATGAGGATAATATTTATATTATAATTACCAGTACTTATTTTACAAGAAAGAGATAAAAATTCTGCTCCATTCTAACCCTTCCAAGCTCCAAATACAGGATTCATCTTCGTCATTGACATTAATTGTTATAAGGTATAAAATAAAAAGAGCATGGATCATCAACTTACTTGTCTTGTTTAAGGCCATAAATGCAAACATACACTTAGATAATACATGCTAGTATCACATTTATTAGATTCTATATAGAACTAATTTGGAAAAGGGTCTTAATCTTTGAATTAATCTACGTTAAATCAATTTTATTAAAAATTTCTTAGAGTTACTCTAATCAAGTTTGAACAAGATTTTGTTGGGTTGATTATTTTACTAAAAATCCAACCGAATTAACAGAGTTTTGCTAGGTTAATATTTTATCCCGTTCAACTTAAATTTTAGTTTGGATTTCATCAGGAATTTCCCAAGTTAACCATCATGCAATTAATTTAGATGGATTCTAGATTATTTGATTTTTCAAATTAAACAAGTTAGATTTAAGAACCAGTATTGCAACGAGCAAGTTAAAGATTAAGAGATTACAATTTATTAATTTTTTTTATATAAAAATAATATTATTTTAATTTTTAAAAAATTAAATTAAATTGGAGAACGCAATTGAAATCTCATAGGCTGGGCAAAACTCAAAATGCAAATCTTAGGCCAGGCTAGATTTAAAAATTATGCAAGAAATGATTCGAATACACGAGTGGTCCAGAGGGCACTGACCTTCCATTCACTGAACGACAGGGAGCTGTTAAGGTTAAGGTTGTCGTTGTATTTTCCAAGAAGATATTCCTACACGTTTTTCCAGGTGAGAGTAGTTAAAAAGCAGGTTTTGCAAGAATTCTTTTCTTTGGTCTGTCTAGTTTACCCTCACCATCACGTTACTCTCCCTCGGAGGAAAGCACTTGGATGATAACATGGAGGTCTTGTTCAGATGCCCTCCAGAACTTGCAGGTAACAAGCCATCGCAAGGCACAACCAGCCAATCTTTCTATTTTCTCATGCTACTGTTATAAAATCTGGATTGACCAAGCACATCAATCCAGAATACAAATTAATTTAAATTAAAAAAAACACTTAATTAATTCAGCTACAAGTCCAGATTAACTCGTCGATCCAATTGACCCGGCCATAAAACATATTTATTTTTTTTTAAATTATTTATATAAATAATATCATTTTAATTTTTTAAAAATACCATCCAAGTTGATATTCTCAACTTGTTACCTGTATCTTTCTCTACGTTAGGTTTTAGCCTAGAACTAGAAAAGAAACACAACGTAAAATCCTGGACGGAAGGGAACGCGACCCAGCAAAGAAACAACAAGGAAAAAGCACGGTCCATTAAAAAATTATGCAGAAGCAAAAACCATATAAAAAAAGGAGAGAATATAGCAGGAGAACATGTAATTTTCCCCAAGTCAAGTGAGTGATGTGACCTGGATTAAAAGAGCTTAATTTTTAAGGCTAAGATGCATAAGATAAGTTATATGTGATCTTCTTCTAGGATTTAGACAGTAGCTTTTTTTTATTCATTTCTGGCCACAATCTAGACAATGGTGCCATGCTTGCGTATCTAATATTAGGCTGCGTTGCCCTCTACAGCACCTACTTCCACCATAGACAAACTCGTTACATCATTCAATGAAGTTTTTTTTTTTTTCCTTCAAAAAAAGGGAAAAGGGAAAGAAACCAGGTTCGTGCGTTAGGTCAGAGCCTACCGAAGAAGATAAAACCCTATACGAGAGCATCGCCATTGATTTGCAGGGACGTCCATCTCACTCCAACTTTAATGGATTCTCACATGAACGGATATGAAATTCTTAGTTGGGTTGGGCATGGATACTTGGACACCTAACCCGAGGCTCAAAAATCAATAAAAAATCTTAAAATCTAAAAAACCACAGCTAACTTTATATCAAATAATTATAAATTATGGCGTTTACATTTAGATAATAGATTTTTTGACCATATTTCACATAGGTTTAACCCCACAGGGAGAGCTACATATAAGCATCGAAGCATCTTTCAAATGGGTTTAATTAACACGGTGTTGTGTACGTTGAGGCAAATTATAAATAATCGGGGTGTTTCTTAGTTAATTATTTTCCTAATTTGAGAAACCCTATCATAAGCTGGTAAACAATCACTAATCCTAAGAATATTGCTGGCCCATGCTTGTCTATAATCTTTATATATTAACACCATTTTTTACATATAATAAAAAAGAAAAAAGAGTTTGAGGTTTTGCTTCCCATAAGAAAAATACAAGAAAATAAAACAAAACTGATTATGCAGGAATACCTCGGGTAAAGGGCATCGTTCAATTATTTTTCTTAAGATGATGAGGCAGAATAAGGACACTATACAATGGTTAATTGCGATTTAATTCATCAACTTGAAACCTTGAATATACGAATGGCACGATTGTAGAGGGGACACACCATGCAAAAATGACCAAAAAAACAAAAAAAAAAGCTATCAAATTTACTAATTCACAGATTTCGTTCATATTTTGCTGCCCAAAATTGGTTTTTTTATGTAATAATAATAATAAATAGAAAAAGCTATTCTTTTTAATAGAAAAAAAATATAATAATAAAAACTAAAAATAAATTATTTTTTTAAGAAATTCATATTAACATATTTATGAACACAAACTTTATATATATAAGGCAAGGCTATTTTGGATTTATTCAGAAATTTTGTAGGTATTGTTTTTTAAAATATTTTTTATTTAAAAATATATTAAAATAAAAAAACATATTTAAAAAATAATTAATTTTTTTTTTTAAG